AAAATAGGGGTAGATATTAAGGTAACCACAAAGGAAACTAACAATCCTACAAGTCAAAATAAAAAATGAAAATATAAATACTCAGCAAATATAATATCAACAACAATGAAAAAGATGAAAAAAAAATACATAAAAACAACTCAGCACTGAAAATTAAGTGGAACAAAGAAACTGTGAACAGCACACAAAAAAAGACATCAAAACAACAGCACTAAACTCATACCTATCAATAATTACGCTGAATGTAAATGGGCTGAATGCACCAATAAAGAGACAGAGAGTGGCAGATTGGATAAAAAAACACGATCTGTCTATATGCTGCCTACAAGAGACACACTTTAGACTCAAAGACACAAACAAACTAAAACTCAAAGGATGGAAAAAAAATAAGCAAACAACACTCAAAGAAGAGCAGGAGTGGCAATCTTAATGTCTGCCAAAATAGACTTTAAAGTAAAATCCACCACAATGGATAAGGAAGGACACTGTATAATGATTAAAGGGTCAATACACTAGGAGGACATAACTATAATAAATACTATGCACCCAGCAACAGGGCTGCAAAATACATAAACTCCAACAGCACTGAAAAGAGAGAGAGACAGCTCCACAATAGTAGTATGAGACTTCAACACACCACTTTCGGTGAAGGACAGAACATCCAGAAAGAAGCTCAGCAAAACACAGAAGAGCTAAATGCTACAATCAACCAACTTGACCCATAGACATATACCAAACATTCCACCCAACAGAAGTCAAGTATACTTTCTTTTCCAATGCACATGGAACATTCTCCAGAATAGACCACATATTATGCCATAAAGCAAGCTTAACAAAATCCAAAGCATTGAAATATTACAAAGCATCTTTTTGACCATAAACCCATAAAAGTAGAAATCAGCAACAGAAAAAGCAAGGGAAAAAAAAATCAAACACATGGAAACTGAACACCTTGCTCATAAACTACTGGGATATAGAAGAAATTAAGGATGGAATAAAGAAATTCATAGAATCAAAGAGTTAATAAGACCAAAAGCTGGTTCTTTGAAAAGATCAACAAAATTGATAAACCACTGGCCAAAATGACAAAAGAAAAATGAGAGGAAACAGATAACCCTTAGAGAAATGAGATGGGTGATATCACAACAGACCCAACTGAAATTAAAAGAATCATAACAAATTATGAAAAATTGTACCCTAACAAATTTGAAAACCTAGAGGAAATGGACAAATTTCTAGAAACTCACTACCTGCCTAAACTAACACAAACAGAGGTAGAACAACTAAATAAACTCATAACAAAAGAAGAGACTGAAAAGCTAATTA